AGAACTAAGAAACAACTAACCATCAAAAGATCTTATTTTGAAGCAGAATATAGAGCTCTTAAAGCGATTACTTATGCGTTTTAATAACTTCTATACCTATTCAAAGAGCTCCACATAAGTTGCTCCAAATTAATTGTTCTCTATTGTAACAATTTGAATGTTAATCTGGTATTCCATAAATAAACTAAACACATGAAAAAAAAATTGCCACATTGCATGAGAGAAGGTACAATCTATATTTTTGTAGTTTCTACCTATATCATCCAAAAATTAGATTATAGATTTTTTTAAGAAAATCATTGCTTCCTCAACCATTTAATCACCTTCGATCTTCTCCTTTAATTTTTTTTTTCTCATTTCCTCTCCTTCCTCATTCTCTTTCTTGATTATATTTTTGAATTTTAAATTATAAGTTAGAATGAAATTAAGAGAGAGATAGAGTTTGTAGAGAAAAGGAGAGAAGAATGGAGAGAATCCAAATCCATAATTTAATATATTTTGATCTCAGAAAATTGGGGCAGAAGGTGGCCCAATTGCTCGCAATGGGATTTATCCAAGGGGTTGTTCGACCACTGCCCTTTATTGTTATGTGATAAGGAGCAAGACTGGGGTCCGAGACCATTTTGAATGTTAGATTGTTGGAAGCAATTGGATGGGTATCATAGTTTTGTCAAAAACCAGTGGTCAAGTTTGAAAGTGGATGGATGGGGTATGTACGTGTTGAAGGAAAAGTTCAAGCTGTTGAAGAACAAATTTAAAGATTGGCACAAGTTGCATACTCACAATATCGAAGGGAAAATCAAATTCGTTAAAGAAGAGTTTAATAAGTTGAAATTAAAGAGAGAAATTGAGACATTTGTCATTAACGGAGGAATTTCGAAAAAGACAATTGTTGGTAGAATTGCATAAATTGTCGAACTTCAATTGTAGCATCCAATACCAAAAGGCTCGGATACAATGGTTGAAAGAATGTGATGCAAACTCAAGATATTTCCAAGGATGCTTAAATATGAGAAGAAAAGAAAATGAAATTAAGGCCATAGAAGTGAACACAAACTTGGAGACAGAAGTGGATGGTATAAAAAAAGGTATCCACGATCACTTTAAAAATATTTTTGCGCCTAAAGGAGTGAAGTTCCGTTCAGATAAATTGGAAATTGTGCAATTAGAGATAATGGAGAACGAAGATTTGATTCGAGAATTTTTGGAGGAGGAAGTAAAGGAAGCAATTTGGGATTGCGATAGCTCGAAAAGTCCAGGTCCTGACGCCGTCAACTTTGGTTTCATTAAGGAATTTTGGGAATTATTCAGAGGCGACATCACGAGGATGATGGGAGAATTTCATGCTAACGGGAAGATGGTTAGAGGAGCAAATAGCTCATTTATAGTTCTTATTCCCAATAGGAGAAATCCAGTAAAGGTGTCTGATTACAGGCTAATATCTCTCGTAAGATGCATCTACAAGATAATTTCCAAGCTCTTGGCAAATAGGATGAAAAAAGTGATTAACACAGTTATTTCCGAAACGCAATCAGCATTTATCAAGGGTAGACAGATTTTGGATGGGGTTTTAGTGGCAAATGAAGTCGTGGACGAGGCTAGGAGAAGGAAAAAGGAAGTGATTCTCTTTAAGGTGAATTTTGAAAAATCGTATGATTGTGTAGATTAAAAATATAGTAGATGTGTTAGAAAAAATGGGATTTCCTTTGGAATGGCAGAATTGGATACTTGAGTGCTTGAGTTCCTCGACAATATCGATGTTGGTTAATGGGAGCCCAACAAACGAATTCAAGATGGGCTGTGAACTTAGGCAAGGTGATCCGTTATCACCATTCTTATTCCTAATTGTAGCAGAAGCGTTTAACGGGATGTTGAAAAAGGCAATAGGCTTGGGGAAATTCCAAGGTTACAAATTTAATAATAGAGATGAAACATTCTCTCATTTGCAATATGCAGATGATACAATGATCATTATAGAGAAATCATGGTCTAATATCCGTTCTATTAAAGGGCTAATTATGTTGTTTGAATTGATGTCCGGCTTGAGAGTTAATATGCTCAAAAACAAGTTGGTGGGGATCAATGTTACAAAAGATTGGTTAGAGGCGACACTGAACGTCTTAAAGTGTGGTACAAGCTCTCTTCCTATATTGTACCTTGGTCTACCTATTAGAGCTAACACAAAGCGGATGGAAACTTGGGGTGGGGTGATAAATAAGGTGAAGTCAAGGTTATCCAATTGGAAGAATAAACACTTATCTATTGGGGGTCGCGTAGTCATTCTTAGATCGGTCTTATATGTGATCCCAGTTTACTATCTCTCGTTCTTTAAGGCTTCTACAGGTATCATTCTTAAACTTGAATCTATTTTTAAACAAATTTTATGGGGGGTGAGGTAGGGAAGAAAATAAATTGGGTCAAGTGGAATCGGGTGTATAGGCCAATTGAAGAAGAGGGGCTAGGTATTAGAAGGATATGTACTTTTAATACAGATCTGCTGGGTAAATGGAGATGGAGAATTTTATCAGAAAACGAGGCCTTTGGTATTTAGCCTTAGTGAATAAATACGGGCTGAATGTGAAAAGTTTAAACTCGATAGATAGGGGATGTTCAGGGTGGTGGAAAGAGGTGTGTAATATGGATTTAGGAGGGCTGAAAGTTTATAGTGAATACTCTGTTAAAAATGTGTACAAGAATCTTTTGTCTGAAGGTTCTATTGCGATTAGGAAGCCGTGGTTGCAGATTTGGAACAGAGCAATTCCAACAAAAATTCCGGGCACGGTGTGGAGATTAGTGCAAAATAGGATTCCTACAAAGGATAACATAGGCAGGAGGAGAATATCTTTACAGGATCAGGTTAGTTGTCCAGGGAATTACAGGAGCGATGAATCAGTTTCTCATTTATTTTTCGAGTGTCAAAGATTTGCAGGTACTTAGAGCTATATTTGCAGATGGATAGGAGCGTCAACAGCTCTTCATAATGAAGGGTGGCAGCACTTGTTGTAATTTGAGAACTTATTTGGAGAAGGAAATGAGTTGGCCTTGAAGCTTCGGGCTATATGGTGCGCTTGCGTTTGGTGTATTTAGAAATCAAGGAACGATAAAATCTTCCGCAACAAGGAAATTCACGATATAAAGGTCATAGATGAAGCAATTGCGCTTTCATGAAGATGGCTTAAATTAAAATCAAAATGTATATGGGGGTGTGAGGTAGGGAAGAAAATAAATTGGGTCAAGTGGAATCAGGTGTATAGGCCAATTGAAGAAAAGGGGCTAGGTATTAGAAGGATAGGTACTTTTAATACAGATCTGTTGGGTAAATGGAGATGGAGAATTTATCAGAAAACGAGGTCTTTGGTATTTAACCTTAGTGAATAAATACGGGCTGAATGTGAAAAGTTTAAACTCGATAGATAGGGGATGTTCAGGGTAGTGGAAAGAGGTGTGTAATCTGGATTTAGGAGGGCTGAAAGTTTATAGTGAATACTCTGTTAAAAATGTGTACAAGAATCTTTTGTCTGAAGGTTCTATTGCGATTAGGCAGTCGTGGTTGAAGATTTGGAATATAGCAATTCCAACAAAAATTACGTGCATGGTGTGGAGATTAGTGCAAAATAGGATTCCTACAAAGGATAACATAGGCAGGAGGAGAATATCTTTACACGATCAGGTTAGTTGTCTAGGGAATTACGGGAGCGATGAATCAGTTTCTCATTTATTTTTCGAGTGTCAAAGATTTGCAGTTACTTGGAGCTGTATTTGCAGATGGATAGGAGCGTCAACAGCTCTTCATAATGAAGGGTGACAGCACTTGTTGTAATTTGAGAACTTATTTGGAGACGGAAATGAGCTGGCCTTGAAGCTTCGGGCTATATGGTGCGTTTGCGTTTGGTGTATTTAGAAATCAAGGAACTATAAAATCTTCCGCAACAAGGAAATTCACGATATAAAGGTCATAGATGAAGCAATTGCGCTTTCATGAAAATGGCTTAAATTAAAATCAAAATGTATATCGGACGAGTTTCCAGCTTAGTGGCTAAATCCTAGGGCGTGTTTGGGAGTAGAAATGTAATTTGTCAGTGCAGAGATTCAGGATTTACAAGGGCAACATGGCAGCATTCTGCAGTATTGGTTGTTATACTTTTTGGTTGCAGTTTGTGGTGGAGGCTTTTTCCATATTCTTTCTTCCTAGTCTGGTCTAATTGTGGCTGGCCGGTATGCTAGCGTTCAATTCAGTTTGTTTTTCTGTTTTTCAGTCGTGCTGTTGTTAAGAATAGGTGTGTTTAGTCTTACGGTGTAGTTTTAGCCGTGGTGCTGTTTGTTCGTGAGGCTAATGTTTGTTGTTGTTGTCTAAGGTCTGCTGTTTTGGTTATTTGGGGTAGTGCTTATTTGATTATTGGGGTAAAGCATAATGCAGCTGCTGTTTATTTTTTCTCTTCGGTTAGGTCTTGTTGCTGGTGTACATCAATTATTTTATTGTATCTTGATGGCATTTCTTATGGCTTTTGGCCGCTTAAAAAGAAAATATTCTATCATCAATGTTGAGAATAATAGACATTTATCAATTACCAATTTGAAGGGGCCAATACACAGCATTCACGGTTTAGTATCATGTAGTGACACATACAATAATGTGAAGAAATTTCAAACCTAGTTTCCAAAATAATTTATTTACAAATTATAGCGTACATTGCTTCCCTTGTGCTCTTTTTTTTCACAGGCAAAATATCAAGTCATAAAAATTAATCAAAACTAATTCATTTACAACAGAACGCGAGAATAAAGAATGTTCATTCATTTAAATTATTTTAATTACACTTTTTTGTTTTCCAGTGTCTTAACACTGTCACACAACTCCCTTCCTTAATGAGTTTCACAATGTGTTGAAACCATGGCCTGGTTGTTAAGTCCCAAACCCTCCAACATTATAGGCTTGGTTAGAAATTCAAAAATAAATTCCTTTTTAAAACAATACTCGATTATTGCATTTTACACTTTCATCATTCTCTCTTCACAAATCGTCCCTGCAAAATATACAAATAAGAACTTCAATTCAAAACAGATCTCTAATAAACAAAACTCAAATTAGTATGCAAATGAGTAGAAAATAAATTGCCCACTATCATTTATGTATTTTCGAAACTATTATGTCATAGGTGCGAAGTATCATCTTTGTTTGACAACACTAATATCTACAATCTACGAGTTCTAATTCAACTATCAAATGTCGATATTATTATACTGGACACCATCACATACCATCATACAGATTAGAATCTCAGACATCACAATGAACCAGCAATTGCATAGTGTTCTAGTAGTAATAGAAGTTTAGAATAATGCACCTTCATTCTAGGCCGTTTTTCAGCATTCAACTTGCGAACTTCGTAACGAATCCTCTTAGCAAAGAGTCTGCTTTGCCGTTTTTCTTTGTATCTCAACAAACTTGCCTCTCTCTGCCCAACCTTCCAACCCAATTCTTCCTTCACATTCACATTGTTATTGTTTGCTCCACAACCTTCTGGAACTTTCCATGTGTTCCCAACAACATCACACCCATAACCATCCCACATTACCTATCCAAAAACAAACACACACTATTATTAGACATATTAATATCAGATAGATAGGCCCATAATATATTTCATAATTGATGCATAACCCACCTACAAAATTTTCTACTATTAAACAAAAATGAAATAAAGGTAAAAGAAAAGCAAAAAGCCCCCCTCAAAAACATGTGTCTTACAGAAAAGTTGGTACCCGAAATAAAAGATGTCGGTGCCAAAATGAAATGATTCATATTCTCAATCACAAACCATGTAGTACAAAAAAAATAATAAACTAATAAAATATCCGTCACATGCTCAATCATAAGATATTAAAGAAATATTTGACAAAATCTCATAACTCTTAAAGTATTCTTATAAAAACAATGGTATGTTGAAAAATAAAGAAATGAAGTCAATACTAATTAAAAAGTGATTCACTATTGACTCAAAATTAAAAAATGTTGAAATTGCAATCATATGTATATCCACTAATATCTAAATCATAAATTAGTAATTTAGATATCAACAATTAATTGAAGTGATCCAAAAACAATGATAAAGATCTAAAGAATCCTTTTCAGCTTAATCAGAAATTCCGAGTTCGATGCCGAGTTCAAATTTAACTATGGACACGCGGTATCAATGTTAATTATTTATTTTTTTTTTGAGAATTTTTATCAATTATTATCGTAGTTTCTGCTGCAACAATTGCGTGAAGAGGATAACTGATTTTTAATTAAAAAAACAATTAATTGAAGTGAAAATTAGTAAAATTACATTGGAAAGGAGGGTGGAAGCATTGAATAAATCAGGAACAGTCTGTGGGGCTTCATCAGCAGCATCAACATAAAGAGATCCTTTATCAGACCAAGCATTCAATATTCCATCATGATCCAGCTTCAAAGACAAAGACCCAAAAAACGACGTCGTTTCACTCCCAACACAACTATTCACTTCCTCCATCATTTCCTTCTTCTCTTCCACAACTTCTGAATAACTAACCCATCTCTCTTCCTCATCGTTTCTCTTCCTCCTCATCGCTTTCTTCACCAACCCGTCTATAGCCGGACACCTCATCACCGATAACGACTCTTCCTCCTCCGCCGTCGTCGCTGTTAGCGTAGTCGATTCGTCCTCTAGAAGCCCGTTCAACGTTGCTCCACCGTCGGATGTGAAGAGTAAAGCTACGTTGTTTTCTTCTTGCATGTCGGAATCTGAATGGTGGTGAGCGAAGAGATTCAGCTCTGGTTGTTGTTGGGTTGTTGTTTGGTTTGTTTGAGTTTGTGAGAGCTGTAAACGAAGACTAAGATACTTAGGTTTTCTTGTTTTTGTTCTGTTCCTGCGTTTATGAGGTTTAAGAGAAGAAGATGAAGAAGAAGACGACAAAGAAGAAGAAGAATTTTTATAGGTCGGTTTTCTCTTCCTCTTCATGGCAACAGATTTAGTTTTGGTTGGAGAAACAGTAATACTATTTTTGTTGCACATCACTCACTTTGTTTACACAGCTTGAGATTCTAAGTTCGATCTATGAAGATAGAGAGAGAGAGTGGAATGATGGAGTGGGGAGAGAAAAGTGAGGGAAAAGGCAGTGACTTTTTGATGGAGGGACAGTGACGTAGGAGAGGATGATGCGATGTGTGGCCCGATGGACACGTGTCATGTGGTGATTGGACAAAAGAGTGGATTCCATTGTTATCTGGATTTCGTTTATGGAAGAGATGAGGTGATATAGATAGATTGGGTTAAAAGTTTTGGCAATCTCTCAATGGTAGTTTAGATTACTCTCATCTTCCGAGTCTTGTATTTAATCATTTATACTACTATTGTTAATTACAGATATATGATCAAAATTTAATATGGTAATAATAATAATATTTCGGAAATTATATTCAATTTAAAATTTCATGTATAAAAACATAATTTTTTTTCAGTTAAAAAGATATATAAATATCTTAAAGTATTCATTAAGATAGTGGATATTAGACACCGACAAAATAATAAATGTTTTAATCTATATCAGTTTATTAGTGAAAAGTTTAATATTACTCACGTGATGTTTGTGTTTACGACTACTATTTCTTGTCAAAAGGAGCTGTGTGTGAAGATTGTTTGATTTTTTATTTATTTTATTTTGTTTTTTATTAATTAATTTGTTGTTTTTTGGCAAATAATCATTTGGTTAAAATGGTTTTAAGAAAAAAATTGATTTTAATATATTTTTTAAATATAATTGATTTTGTTTCAAAAAATAATTCTTCTTAAAGTCAAGTTGAATTTATGGTTCTATTCATTCTCGCATGAAAAATTTTAAATATAAAATTTTTTTTCTTCAACTTACTTTTAATCATAATTAATTTATATAAAATTAATTTATATATTACTACCAAACTCATGAATAATACCAAGTTTTAAAAAGATATTGTCTTTCTCCTAAATTAGTCGTTGACTACTACCTCTCTTTTCCTTGACACACCATCTCTTTTTTCATTTAGTTTAAATTTTTGACGGTGTGATGAGATTTTTTCTCTGCTACATTCTAGAGGTTTTTCTTTCTCTGGTGTTAGGTTGCTCTTTAAATTACGAGAATTAATGATATTTCATAAAATATGTGGTCGCATTTTTAGTATTATGGTGTTAGTATATTTTCTTAGCACGCGAGGCACTTTTAGTGAGGAGAGAAAGAATGAGAGAGAGAATGAAAAATAAGGATTGTTATTATTGAATGTGATTGTATTGCAAAACTGAATTACAAAGTATCTATTTATATACAACTAATTTTCTTGACTACTTAGTAACATAATATAACAAACACTAACCCTAACTAACTTGGGTTTGGGCTACACAACTTGCATTATATCTTAACATACCCCTTTATAATCCAAGTTTTCGAACACAGACTAATCATAGTCGATCTAAACTATTCCTAATTTCTTTCTCAACTTTAGGAATTTGTCGATCTTCAGTCCTTTGGTGAAAATGTCGGTAAACTGTGTTTCACTCGAGCAATGTCTCACTTCAAGTTTACATTGATTTACCTTTTCCCTTAGGAAATGAAATCTCATCTCAATGTGTTTACTCATTTCATGCAGAACTGGATTCTTTGCAAGATTAATGGCAGATTTGTTATCGATCTGCAGCACCAAAGGTTTTTTAACTTTGACCTACATCTCTTCCAGCACATATTTGATCCAAATTATTTAACAAGCAGCATATGATCCAGCTATATATTCAGGCTCACATGATGATATTGCCACCACTGGTTGCTTTCTCAAGCACCATGAGATTGGGGCATCAAATACTTGAAAGAAATAACCAATTGTGCTTCTTCGATCTTTCTTATCTCCACATCAATCAACATCTGAATAGCAAGTGATATCAGCTTCTTTAGTTTTAGAATATCGTGGAAATAGAATTTCGTAGTTTGTCGATTCTTTTAAGTATCTCAGAATTCTACTTGCAGCCTTAATGTGTGACATCCTTGGTTCACTCATGTATCTGCTTACTAATTCGACCGAGAAACTTATAGCAAGTCGACTGTTGCACACGTACCTTAGAGATCCGAAAATTTGTTTGAACAAAGTGACGTCGACTTTGTCTTCCTTTCCATGCTTCTCCAACTTCAAATTTGGTTCGAAAAGTGAGGATGCAGGATTCGAGTCTTCCATCCTAAATCTCTTGAGTATCTTTGACCTTTTTTTTTGATGTAGCACTATACCTTCCTTCGACATTTGAAATTTCATGCCTAGGAAGTACGACAACTTTCCCAAATTCAACATTTCAAATTCTTTCTTCATTAGCTCTTTGAAATTTGACAAGTTCTCTAAGCTATTTCCAGTTACTAAATAGTCATCAACATATAAGCATATGATTGTTATATCTTGTGCCAGAACCTGAACATATACACCATACTCGGATTTTTTTTGATGAATCCCAATTCGATCAAGTATGAGTCGGTTTTTTGTTCCATGCCCTAGGTCCTACTTAAGGTTATAGAGCGCTTTGTGAAACTTATACACTTTCCTTGCTTCCTCCTGTATCACAAACCCATGAGGTTGTGTGACATATACCTCTTCATCTAGAGGACCATTTAAAATTGGTGATTTCACATCTAACTGAAATATCAACCAACCTTGCTTACATGCTAAGGCTGCCACCAACCGGTCAGTCTCCAAACTTGCTACTGGTCCATATACTTTAGAGTTGTCGAGTCCTTCTCTCTGAAGAAATCCTCAAGCTACTAATTTTGCCTTATGTCTTGTTATAGATCCATTAGCATTATGCTTCAACTTGAACACCCATTTCACTTTGTTAGCTTTTGTATGTGTTGGCAATTCGACTAACTCCCATGTGTTATTTTTTCGATTGCTTGTAACTTTTCGACCATATCTGACTTCCATTGTTTGTTCTTCAAAGTCTCGCTATAGTTGGTTAGTTCAGCACCTGCAAGTAAAACAAAATGAACTAAATCTCCATCTAGTGTAACTTTTGAAGGGAAATTGCGATCCAAAATGCATCGAAAATTAAAATTTTCACTTTAGTGATCCTTACGAATGAGCATGATCAGTGATATAAACGATTACCTCTTCTAGTGATTAAAAATTTTAATGAAGATCCGGATGAACGATCACAAGCGTTAAATGAATAACGACGCCTCTACTCAGTTCACACGAACAAAGTACTTTCAATCTCGGTGCTACCTGCTATGAATGAAAACTTTGAGTGTGTGTGTGTGTGTGTGTGTGTGTGTGTGTGTGTGTGTGCGTGTGTGTGTGTGTGTGTGAGAGAGAGAGAGAGAGAGAGAGAGAAAGAGAGAGAGATACGATCAGGGTTCCACCAACTGAATTTTATCAAGTTCAGAAAGCTTCTACACAAAGGTTGTATTTATAGAACCACTTATATGGACTGCAAGGTAAAAAGCTCAACTTAAGTGCATTATATAATAATAATATTAATAATAATAATAATAATAATAATAATAATAATAATAATAATAATAATAATAATAATAATAATAATAATAATAACCGTTATTATAATAAACATGTTTTATTATTATTATATTTAATAACTATAATAATAATAATAATAATAATAATAATAATAATAATAATAATAATAATAATAATAATAATAATAATAATAATAATAATATAATCATTATTATAATAAACATGTTTTATTATTATTATATTTAATAACTATTATAATAATAATAATATTAACTCTTATTATTATATTCTACGATGTTCCATATTTCACTTAACTACACCGTACCTTACGGTGTTCCATAATTCTCTCAAGTACATTGTATTGTTTCCCTTGAAAAATAGAAAACAACCGCTGATCTTCCAAATCTAACTTTGGTGACTCACAGGATCGATCAGATTGATCCTAAGACATGTGCTAAAGATTCTTTATTTTGGAAATCTATCTAAGTTTCACACTTCGATAATATTGCGGTAAAAGGTTTTAAGAAGTACCTATTCGACTAAAAGAGAAATAGAAGATAAAGTTTTAGAAGGGAAGAAATAGAAGTCTTAGAGAAGGATTGAGGACGAAGATAAAGTAAAGTGCATAGAAAAAAGGAAGGTTGCAATAAAGGTAAAGAAAACTTTGTAAAGTTAAGCAAATAAAGTAAACTTCATTAAAAAGTAAAGATGGTGTGTTTACATCACGCACATTCTCCTTGATACTCTTTTCTCTACACTCGGATACTTTGAGTAAACTTAGGAGTGACTTGCACAAATAGTAAATTACAACACACTAATTCTATCTCTAAAAACTCCTATTTATAATAGTAAAAAATAACTAACAATAACCACCTAAAGTCGTCATCTTCCGACACATGTCACTGCGCATGAAGTCCTTTACCCAACGGGTGCCACTTGTCCTTCTTAGTCATCAAGAAATAAAACTACTCCCTCCATTATTTGAATTTCAAATACTTAATTGATCTCCAAATCGGTCGAAGGCCAATCTCTCCAAAGTTCATAATTTTCTCTAAGTCCCCAGAACATCTTAACTTCCTCTTTCGAAGATCTCAGGCCTTTCGATAGACTCTTTACCTCTAAATTAAAAGACTTTAATATTTAAATATCTTAATCCATAAGAGGTGTCGAATTTATGAACTAACAAATTTCCCCCAAAAAAATGTCTTTTTCGATCTGTATGTAGAAAAGGAACATTTTTTTGACAGCGCCTAATTCGACGTCGTCGCCTCGACTTTCTCAGAGCCATAACTGTGATTCGAGCACTTGCATCTGGGAAGATGAAAGAAAGAAAGAAAGAAATAAAGAAAGAAAGAACCAAGGAGAGAAAAAATTCGGGAAACTGTTCCGCTATCCCCGTGCACGTTTCTGACGTCATGGGTCATTATGACGGATTTCTCGGAACTCACAAAAATCAAAAAACCATCATCACCCCTTTGAGAGTCTAAGACAATCATGGGTATAGGTAGCAACTGCCACCACCCTATTTCCTCGTCT